CAGTTTGATTTTCTTTAAAACTTGGCAGAAAACATGTATTGCTTATTATTTCTTGTATTTAATTTAAATGATAGATTATAATACATTTCAGCCTTAACACAGGATGCCAATTTCCATTTTTGTAATAGTATTTTTTTTAATTCCTGTATTTAAATTAAAAAATCCAATTTGATTTAAAAACATGGATTTTATTTATTTTAATTAGTCAATTTTTATCCACCGTGGACCTCATAAAAGCCAAAACAATTTATGAACTATAGACTAGCACTCCCATAGAGCAGAGTTCCTTAGGCTTTTTCCACAGTGTGGACTGCAAAATACAGAGATTATCTCAGGGACCACCTCCATTCTCATTCACTCTCATGAGAGCAAACTCCCTCCTCATTCATGACTTCATAACATCTCAGTGGCAGCTACTGCACCCTTTGCATGGAAAAGGATTTATATAGTTTAGCTGTCTTTCAGCGCAATTTAGCAACTCACAGGGGCAAGTTCAGTTCCCTGTCACCAACCAGCTGCCCGTGGACCACCAGCAAGTGTTCCAGGCAGCACCATTTTAGAATCATCACCAGAGAGGAAATGTATTTGACCTCAGGGATAACAGTGCCTTCTATTTTATTCCAAATACCCTTTTTATCTAGCACTAACATTTCTTCATGTGAAAGTTCCATCAGAAAATTCAAAAATACTGAATAAACTAGAGAAAACTCCCTTACAGCTATTTTTGCGTTTCGATTGGTTATATTTTCTGCCCTTAGTTAACACTCTGTTCTACACAGGACAACACTATTTTTAAAAAGCAGCTGCTGAGGCGTGAATTAGCTAGCATACTGTTATCTTTCTGATATTGCAAATGGCAAGGGGCCAATGAGAAAAGGGAAAAGAACTCTCTTTTGACCAAGTGGCCATAGCTTTATTAAACCTTAAAAACAGCAGCATCCTAAAATAACCTGTCGTAGCAAAACGGAAAAAGGGGAAGACCTCAGCTCCCCCCACTTTTTGCTGCCACCTTCCCATGCTTTTTGTCAGTCACTCAAATTCCAAGTATACCATCATTTTTAGGGTCTACAAAGCCTACATTATTCTGAGGCCTACAACTATTCCAAGACCTGACCACAGTTCTATGCAGACCAATGCACAAGTCAGCCACCAAGTCAGATACAAGAGCTCAATTCACAGGAAAGAGGGATTTTTTCCAACTTCCATCCTCAGGAAAGTTGGAAACACCAACCCTGCCATCCCTGACATTAATGTTATCCCATTTGAGGGGGAATCTAACCCATGCTGCGCCATACTGCCAGAACCAACTGACTAAAATTGCAATCCTGTAAATCAAAGGTATGTTAATCATACTGTACAATCACAATTATCACCAATAGCTGGTGAACACACAACTACTTCCAAGTATTCAAGCTCCCCCAAAGGCTGTGACTGAAACACAGTGTGTAACAAACCGACCAATACAGACAGAACAAAGAGGAATTAATACCCAAATAATTCCAGAGGAGAAAAAAGGAGGCAGCGTAAAGGATTAAGATAACGGAAAACTGCTCCTGGTACACACCAGCCAATCCAGTGCCTGTAACAAACGCTAGGAATTCACCAGTGGCAGCCTTTCCAACAAAAAACAGCTACAACTGGCTAGCAATTGCTCTGGCATCATGAGATGTAGCCTTGCCTCCCTGGTCTCCATCTATAATCCAGGCTAGCCCTCATCGGTCAAACCGTTTTTTTTCACCTTGATAGTACATATTGACAGAATGAGGGTAAACTAAAAACTTGGCCAAATACAGTACATTTTTTCTTCTGACATTACCTACTAGCTTTATCACCTATGGATTAAATGTTAATTGCTATCCTATTAATACTTAGCACGGTTTCTAGTTTTTTCCATACCTTTGAATAGAATTTGGCTTGGGATTTTATAAGGATACTAAGAGAGAGAAAGACATTCCACTCTCACTGCATATGAACGGATTTGAGCATCTAACTCCCTTAGGTCCATTGAAAATCTCTGCTTCAGTGCTTTCCACCTTTGACAGATTTTCATTAGCCAAGTCCCTACTGAATGTCATTGAGTCTCTGGCTCTTCTCTTTTCATGTGTTATAGAAAACTCTGCTTGGGGGAGGTTCTTTGGAAGCATGGATGGGTGGGAGGATGCTAACCACAGACTGTGACAGGAAGCCTTCCCCTCTGTGCCTCTAACCCTCCTTATTCCTCAGGCTCTAGATCATGGGGTTCAGCAGTGGAATAATCAGGGCGTACAGCACAGAACTAGCTTTGTCCTGCTGATCAGAATAGCTTGGCCTGGGCCACAGGTACACCAAGATCAGAGTTCCAAAAAAGATGGAGATGGCTGTGAGGTGGGAGGTGCAGAAGGTCCTGCACCTGCCCTGTTGGGAGGGGATCCTGAGGATAGCTGTAAGGATGTACAGGAAAGAGATCAGCATGGTCAGGAAGGACCTGACACTGACGATGTAGGCCAAGGCCAGGTCAACCACCTCATTGTTCTGGGTCTCAGCTCAGAAGAACTCCACCAATGGCATGATGTTGCAGGAGAAATGGTTGACGTGGTCGGCTTCACAGAAGCACAAGAGTCATACAACACATGAGCAACAACATAAACTGTTTCTGTATCATGCTCAGATAAATAGGCTGGACCCTCCTCCATCCCTAAAAAAGTAACTTATTCTATGTCAAATTCTGTGTCACAGGGACACACTATAATCCAGTAGTTAGAACCGATTGCTGGGAGTAAAAATTCATGCCTTCTATTGCCAGCTCACTCTCCAATTCATTGCATAGCTTGGGCCACTCATAACTCTGTACCTCAAGGCACCCTATGTAAAGTCAGTTTAAGAATACCAGCAATAATAATTCACATAGATGTTACGTGGTTTAATGTTGTATTAAGTATATAACATCATGCTTACCATATTCCTAGTACTGTCAATACCAGCACACAGCATGGGTTCTATCTCTCGTTCTGCAACAGATTTCTTATGTGATGTTTGACAAGACTCTCCCATAATGCATATGCACAGGAGGACTGAATTAATGTTGCACAGACAGCCTTAATTCTGGCATTTCCTATTTTTTGAGAGCTTGGCTTTGCAACCTTAATGTTCTTTTAGTGTAGTTTGGGTATGTAATAAATGAAATACATTAGCTGATATACACAAGAGGGATCTGATTTCTACTCAGATACTATGGTGATAAGCTGCAGTATAAAATCCCCGAGATTTGATTATACTACAGATTTAAGACTTCACTTACACTGGCATGTTCCTCCATTAGTAGGATCTCCATAGTAGCCGGATATACAAGTCTCACAGTGTTTGCCAGTTGTCAGGTTCTCACACTTTTCACAGATGCTTTCATTTACACATTTACTGTGTCCATTGCACTGGCAGGCTGAGGGAAGAAAGAGATACTTGGTAGTTGTGCTCAAATATAGTGCTTCACACAATGTCTGAAGAATCTGATCTGCATTTTGGGTTAGCAGCTTAATCATGTTATGAATGGAACTACCTCATGCAAGTTCTGAATTGGAAAGAGACCGTGGTTCTCATGCTATGGGCCGTGACATCTGAGATCATCAAGAAGATGACCGTTTCAAATTTAAAATGTTTGAGAGGTATAAAATAAATTGATTACCAAAGTATACAACAGAGATACTGTTCTGACTGGACTGGAAGCAACAATAGGGAGAGGTTCATGGGGTTGGAGGGAGGCAGGCAGTCCACATATTTCTGGGATCCTCACTACATAATTCAACGCAAATGTGCTGCATAAGAAACTGGGCCTTGCTAATAGTCAATTGAATGTTTTATTTAGAAAATAAGAACTGCATTTCTTCTTATTTTCATTCATTCCTCCTGTTTAAATATACTCAAA